TTTCCTACTTTTTTACTTAAATACATTTTTTAAAATTAATTTTAGAGAGGGAAACATTGATGAGAAAGAGAAACATCAAACGGTTGCATCCTGCATGCCCCCTACTGGGGATGGAGCCTGCAACCCGAGCATGTGCCCTGCCCAACCAGGAATCGAACTAGCGGCCTCTTAGTACATGGGACAACACTCAGCCAACTGGGCCACAGTGGCCAGGGCTCCTAGTCTTTTTTTCTATACATTTTAGATAGTTTCTATTGCCTTATCTTCCAGTTCATCAACATTTTCTTCTTTACTCTCCAATCTCCTGGTAATTCTATCCAGTGTTTTTCATTTTAGATATTATATTACTCACCCACAAAAGTTCTATTTGGGTTTTTAAAAACAGTTTCCATTTCTCTCACCATCATGTTCCAATTTCTTCCACTTTCTTGAATACATGGGATACATTTTTATAATAGCTGTTTCAATATCCTTGCTTTTATTTCCATCATATCTTATCATTAAAAGGTCTCCTTAAATTGATGGATTTTTCTTTGAGTTACGGGTTTCTATTTTCTCCTGTTTTTGCCCCCATACCTGATAATTTTTATCAGATAATGGACATTGAATTTTCGAATCTTTGGTGTCATTTCTGGCATTCCTCATTACTCAAATGTATACATTTTGGTATACAGGCACACCTGGGAGACATGGTGGGTTCAGTTCCAAACCACCACAATAAAGCAAGTTGTATTCTTAGCTGGTGGAGGATCTTGCCTTCAATTTGTAAAAGGATGCAACAACAGTGAAGCACAATAAAGTAAGGTATGCCATCCAGGCCGGTGTGTGAGCATTGTTCCGTGCAACAAAAGTTTGCCGCTTTGATTCCTGGTTGGGATGCATACGGAATGCAACCAACAGATGTTTCTCTCTTGTATCAATGTTTTTCTCTGTCTCTCCCTTCCTCTCTAAAATGAATAAATATATATTTAAAAAACAAAAACAGCCGGGCTATTGTGGCTCAGTGGATTGTGTGTCATCCCATGGCCTGAGAGGTCCTTGTTTGATTCCCAGTCAGGGCACATGCCTGGGTCGTAGGCTCAATCCTCAGTAGAGGGCGTGCAGAAGGCAGCCGATCGATGTTTCTCACATTGATGTTGCAATCTCTCTCCCTTCTTCTCTCTCTAAAAAAACTCAATAAAAAAATATTTAAAAGTAAATAAATAAATAAAAACAAAAATAATAAGGTGTGCCCGCGTTCTTTTACATTCTGTTGAATTTTGTTCTAAAATTAGTTTCATCTGTTTCCAAGTTAGGTACAGAGAAGCCTTTAGTCTAAGGTAAGATCCCCTTTTAGGAATTCTATCCAATGTCTCTGAGTTCTTTCCTCTGTGGCTCGAAGGAACAAAATTTCTGTGAGTTCCAGAAATTGCTTCACCAAATGCTTTCCAGTACTTATTTCTTCAACTATGACTTTTCTTACACGTGTGTGTAAGTCAGTATTCAGCCAACAAAAGCCTCATGGCAAGTTGTCCAGGACCTCTGAGTGCTCTCTGCAGTTCCGGGAATCCTGGCGCCCTGGCCTGCACACTCCAGCTGCCTTGGCCTCCCTAAACCCCACTCTCCTCAGTGCTGCAGAAAAACTAAGCTTGGTCTGGCCTCTTTTCTGTGGCCTGTAAAATGCTTCTAGACAATAAGCTGGGGAAAATTTCAGGGCTTGCCTCACTGGTTTCAGTGGAAACCTCTCTCCATGATAACATCTATGCTACCTGTTGTTCGATATCTGAAACTGTGTCAAATATTTTGTCCAGTTTCCTAGTTGTTTAACTCAGGAAGAAAAATTCAGCCTTTGCTACTTGATCATGTCCAGGATTTTGAGGAGATAAATGTAAGAAGAAGAAAAAAAGCCTTATCTTTCATTTTGTTTGTAAGATCAACTCATTGATCTCAGAAAATATGAGAAGTCAGTATAACTTGATGGAGAGGACTATAAAAGGAATATCATAACACAGATGAAGCCGGCAACATCGTCTACATATCTGTACATGAATTTCATGTAGGACAGATATTATAACCAAGTACTATAATGAACTGATCCAAGAATCAGACCTAACAATAGCAATACAACAAAGGACTAAGCTAAGATTAAGGAATGCTTTTATTAAGTAAATTATTTTTTACATGATAAATAAAAAATTCTTAAAGGTTAAAAAAAAAAAAAACAAGAAATATAAAAAACTTAAACACTGTATGGTAAATGGAAACATGGGCCCCTTCCCATGCCCCAACTTCCCCTGCCTCCCTGGGGGAAATAATACGGTGAAGGCCATCAGCAAGCGGACGGTGAGACCTTGGGAGCCTAGCCAGCTCCTCAGTCAAGAAAACAGCTCGTGTTTTTTTATCTCACACAGCACCCTTCCCCCTCTCCCTGTACGCCCTGTTTTTGTCTGTTTTCTGCACTCTATAATACCTTGTGTTGGAAAAGTCTGGGTGGCAGCGAAACAACAGCAATGGTGGGGGGCTGCCCTCAGTGTGGCCCGTCTGCAGGCCAGCTGGGACCTACTGGTTCAACGTCACAGGTGGCAGCTGGTGCAGCAGAAAAAACTTCACCAGCTGGCCACCCCTGGTGCGCACGTAAGTCCTAATAAACCCAAACCTCAGCTCTTTGCCTGACACATGCACAGTTCAAATAAAGAATAAGAGATAAAGCCACAAAGGAGCATAACATATTCAGGAACAAGACTGTGGTTGCTGCATTTAGTGAGTGAAACGGTAGAAATGGTAGCAGTAATACAATTTGGAATCAATTCCCAATAACACCAAATACTGGCCAGGATGTTGAGCAACAAGAGCTTTCAATCATCGCTGGTGGAAATGCAAAATGGTACACATACTTTGGAAGACAATTTGGTGGTTCCTTACAAAACTAAACATACTCTTATCATAGGATCTAACAATCCCACTCCTTTCTTGGTATTTAAGCTGAACTGAAAACTTATGTACACCCAAAAAACCTGCATGGAGATGTTAAAAGGAGCTTTATTCTTAAATGCCAAAGCTTCGAACAACCCTTCAATAGATTAATGGCCCCATACAATAGAATATTGATCAGCACTAAAAAGAAATGAGCCATTAAACTCTAAAAATACTTGAAGAAAAGTACAAAGTAAAAGAAGCAAATGTGAAAAGCTACATATTGGAAGATTACAACTATATGACACCCTGAAAAAGGCAAAACTATGTAGAAAATGAAAAGGTCAGCAATTGCCAGGCATTGGGAACAGGGAGAAATGAAAAGGCAGAGCAGGAAGGATTTTTAGGGTAGTGAGACTATTCTCTATGATATTACAAGTATACATCTGTCAAATTACACATTTGTCCAAACTCATAATATATGACACCAGGAGTGAAACCTAATGAAAACTATAATCTTTGGGTGGTAACGATGTATCAATGGAGGTACACTGGTTGTAACAAATGTACACCCTGGTGCAGGATGCTGAAGTGGGGAAGTTTGAATGTGTGCAGGTAGGGAGTATATGGGAACTTGGTACCTTCCGTTCAATTCTGCTTGACTCTAAATCTGTTCTAGTCCTGGCTGGGCAGTTCAGTTGGTTAGAGTGCTGTCCCAATACACCAAGATTTTGGGTTCAATCCCCAGTCAGGGCACATACAATAATCAACCAATGAATCATAAATAAGTGGAACAACAAATTGATGTTTCTCTCTCAAAGAATTTAAAAAATAAAATAAAACGGTTCTAAAAAAACTGTCTATTAAAAAAATGAATTAAGCAAAGATGTGAAATATAAGGCAGACAAGGAACTAGAGGAGAAATCAGTTAGGAGAGGTCAGTCCCACTTTAGGTAAGACACAAAGACAGGCAGTAGAAACAAAACCATTCTGAAACAGTATTCAAGTTTTTACATGTAATCTCATCTACTAGATATTACCATTCCAGAGCTTTCTGCACAAAGAAGGTATATTCTCCAAATTAATAGTAACTACACAAAATAAGCAATGAAATAATGTTTTTAAATAAAATATATATGGTATCTTGAATAACTTTTCAAGTTTACATGACAAGTAAAGAATAAATTGAGCCCTGGCCGGTTTGGCTCAGCGGTTAGAGCGTCGGCCTGCGGTCCTGAGAGACCCGGGTTCGGTTCCCGCTAAGGGCGCGTACCTCAGTTGCAGTTTGTCCCCGGCCCTGGTCGGTTGTGCGGGTGGCAGCCACTCGATGTGTCCCTTCACATCGATGTTTCTCTCTCTCTCTCTGTTCCTCTCTCTCCCTCCTACTCTACCTGAACAACAACAACAAAAAAAAAATGGAAAAATGTCCTCTGGTGAGGATAAAAAAAAAAAAAAGAATAAATTGAATAATACATAATAAATCACTTCCATGTTTTAAATAAGAACACACTTTTCCCCAAGAAAGTTTTTAAAAATTATTCTAGCCCTGGCCGGTATTGCTCAGTGGTTAGAACGTCGGCCTGCGGACCAATGAGTTGTGGGTTTGATTCCTGTCAAGGGCACATACCTTGGTTGTGGTTTGTCCCCAGCCCTGGTCAGGATCATGCGGGAGGCAACCAGTTGATGTGCCCCTTCACATCAATGTTTCTCTCTCTCTCTCCTCCTCATCCTCCTCCCTCTCCCTTCTGCTTACTCTATCTGAGGATAAATAGAAAAATGTCCCTGGGTAAGAAGATTGAGGGAAAAAAAAATTATTCCAACTAGGACCGGACACTATAAAAATAATAAAAGTATAAATGTTAAAAGTTTAGTTTTCTTATATACTTTTTGAAATAACTACGAATAAATACTACATCCTTTACTAAAAAAATAGTTTAACATTTTAATGAATGTAAACTGGTATCAGTATGAGCAAAATCTTAACTTCCTATGGATCTCGACAGACTATTTTCTATTAGTGTAAATGACTTAGTATGGAGAGAGAGTTTTCTTTGGAATGACAACAAAAGAAAGAGTTATTTTGCTAAAAATGAAAAAGTTAGCCATACCTCTTTCTTCGGGCTTTGCAGGAAAATACTTTTTCTCTGCAGATATCAGGTCAGGCTTTGGGGCTAAGGAAAAAAACAAGGCTCATACTTTTTAAAAAATTTGTTTTAGAGCACAGAAACAATTATACTACTAAAAAGAAAAGGTTAATTTAAAAATAACATCAGATCAAAACATGGTTTAACAGAAAGAACAATGTAACAGAATCATTAGGCTCAATTTGATGTTAAACCTGCCACTGTTAGCTGAAGTAAATTAACTCTGTAATCTCAGATCCCTTTTTAAAGTCAAATGAAGGTATTCACGTCCTCTGCACCACCACTGTGCAGTAGAACTAACTATAATGATGGAAACATTCTATTGTTGTGATGTTGAAGACTGGCTGTTGAGACTTGAAATGCTGCTACTACAACTGTGGAATTAAGTGTTTTATTTTACATAATTTTAACTAACTTAGTAAGACCAATTTAACTAGTGTCTAAAAGGCCTTCAACACTATCTTACATAAAAATTATTTTTAACTTGTGCTTTCAATGCTCTGGGATTAGGTCAGCAAATACAATGGTAAAACTATTCAGCAGGAAAGGACTTTCATTATTCTAAAAAGAGCAAATCTTTCAAGAAAAAAAAATTATACTGTATTTATAAACATCAGAAATTGGAGGCTTTGGAATTCACAGAAAGAGACAAAGAACCAGATTATAAAACTTTAACTCTGGAAAACTCTTCCAGTTTGTTTAATCCCTAGCACTTTCTTAAGGAAGAGTACATTAATAATCAGTATTTATTTGCGATGAAGATTTCTCAGTAGATTTTAACTTAGTCAATTCTCTTAACACAAAATGACATAAAACTAAAGCAAACAAATTATTTGCAACATTCCTATTTTATACACCTTCTACTTTGAAAAAAACTAACAGATATGTTCATGTGAACACTCAATTTTTTATATTTCTAAGAATTGGTATACAACACATACTTTTTTTTTTTTTTTTACTAATAAAAATAAATGGTGTATGTAAGACCAATTTCACCATTTTAAAACTTAAAGATATGAAAACAGCAGCCCAGCCAGTGTGGCTCAGTGGATTGAGCATCGTCCCATGGACTGAGAGGTCCCAGTTCGATTGCCGATCAGGGACATGCCCAGGGTTGCGGGCTCCATCCCCAGTAGGGGACGTGCAGGAGGCAGCCAACTGATGTTATCTCTCGCATATCGATGTTTCTATCTCTCTCTCCCCTAAAAAATCAATAAGAACATAAAAAAAAAAAAAGATATGAAAACAGCAAAGTGAATAATGGTTTTCTTACATACCTGGACCCTTAGCAGGAGGTGGTGGTGGTTTCTTTGGTTTCTATTAAAATAATAATGGTGAAAACAGTTCAACACTTACATATTAAACATAGTTCAAACAAATTCTAATCATTAAAAATCAAAATTATATGAACATCCATCCTCAACCTCTACCTGCTAAAAATTATAAAATATAATCCAAAAACTCCACAAAAGGTGACTGATAAAAACTTACTCTATTTCAGTAACTCCTTGATCAAAGTTCAAATATTTCAAAATTTTGTATGAGCAAAAACATTTTGTCCCGCCTCACATAGTTTAAGATTCCTATGCACCAATTCCCTCTTGGGTGAGGAGGGGTAGAAGAGAAAGAAGGAAACTTTATTTATTTATTTTAAAAAATATGTATTTTTTTTTCTTTATTGATATTAGAGAAAGAGAAAAAGTGAGAGGGAGAGAGAGACAGAAACATCGATGAGAGAGAACATCAACTAGCCACCTCCTACATGCCCCCCACTGCGGATTAGGCCTACATCCTGGGCATGTGTCCTGACCAGGAATCGAACAGGTGACCTCTTGGTGCCTGGGTTGACGCTCAACCACTGAGCCACACCGGCTGGGTAAAACGTTGATTGTTCAAAAAAGCTAAGAGGAGCAGCTAGTAAGTATATGCCGTTTTTATTCTTGACTCTTCAGAACGCTCAAACACATAAAGGCAAAGGTGTTTCCTCAATTTATTCCAATTCTCTCAGACTTATAAGGACTCATTTTTTAAGACTTGACATAATGAGTTAAAAAACCTGAGACATATACATAAGTATGTGAATTTGGTTTTTCCAAATAAAAATAACTAATAATCAACTGTGTATAAGTATCTAATAAAAGACCAAAAAATGTGTTCATTAAGAACAATATAGGCACCCGGACAGTGTGGCTCCGTGGTTGAACAATGACCCACGCACCAAGAGGTTTCCAGTTTGATTCCCGGTCAGGGCACATGCCTAGGATGTGGGCCTGATCCCCAGTGGGGTGCGTGTAGCAGGTGGCCAATCAATGTTCTCTCTCATCGATGTTTCTATCTCTCTTTCCCTCTCCCTTCCTCTCTCGCTCTAATACCAATAAAATAAATAAATAAAAATTAAATTAAAAGAAAAATAGAGGCCTTGGCTGGGTTGCTCAGTTGCTTAGAGCATTGTCCCCATACACCAAGGTTTCAAATTCAATCCCGTGTCAGGACACACACACAAATCAACCAATATGCATAAATTAGTGGAACAACAAATCAATGTTTACTCTCTCCCTCTCTAAAATCAATAAAGAGAAAACAAAAAGTATAAAAATAAAGCCCTCTTAAGGCTGAATCAATAGTGAATCAAGTACAGCAAAGAAAGGGCCTCAGACAGTGGGAGTCTCCACGGAGTATCCTCTGGTAATTTACTAAAAGAAAGACCGTAAAGATTACAGATTTCAGCATTGGTCTAAATCGGATATGGTAGACTGTCTTGCTGTGTGTCTGTTCTCTAATTCCCTTTACCCCACAGATTTTTTTTTCTTCATTGATTTTAGAGAGAGAGGAAGGAAGAGGGAGCGAGAGATAGAAACACTGAGGAGAGAAAACATCGACTGGCTGCCTCCTGCATGCCCCACACTGGGGACTGGGCCCACAGCCTGGGCATGTGTCCTGACTGGGAATCGAACTGGCAACCTCTTGGTGCATGGGTCGACGCTCAACCACTGAGTCACACTGGCCGGACTACCCCACATATTTTTAAAACTCAATTAGATCAGTTGTTTCATAGAGGGGGGAAAGGCATCAGATTGCACAAAAGCAAAAGACTAATGACAAACCTCAGACTCACTTTATTCACCATGAGATGTAAGATATATTAAATCCTTTAATGAGGCAAAGACTACCTCTTATCCTCCCAAAAATGCACTGACAGAGTAACAGTAAGATTTACAATGCTTTGTTCTCAACAAAATTAAATAAAAATATGATTTCTTCCAAGCAAGTACTAATTTTTCCAACTAGTATGGCCAGCTTTTCCCTCCAATGCACACAGTATTTTATTTTTTATAATTTATTAACGGTATCTGTTCCCATATTATAAGATATGCATCCGTGCGTGCGTGCGTGCGTGTGTGTATGTGTGTGTTTCTTTTCTGATTTCTAAAAAAATTTTCTTGAAAATACTAATGCTGCGCTGGCCGGTTTGGCCCAGCAGTTAGAGCGTCGGCCTGCGGTCCAGAGAGACCCAGGTTCGGTTCCCACTAAGGGCACGTAACTCAGTTGCAGTTTGTCCTCAGCCCTGGTTGGGTTGTGCGGGTGGCAACCACTCGATGTGTCCCTTTCACGTCAATGTTTCTCTCTCTCTCTCCCCCACTCTATCTGAACAAAAAGTGAAAAAATGTCCCCAAATGAGGATTAAAAAAAAGTTAATGCTGACATTATTGCAGGTGTCCCCCTTTCGCATCTTTGCCCATGTGCACCCATCTCTGCCTCCCCTACTTTTTAAATTATAATAAAATAATGAGTCAAAGAGTACTCTCCAAAATTATTAGTGGGAAAAGAAAATCAGGAATAAAGCAGTGAACTAAAATATTGTATTATTTTTACTATAATTCAAGTAAGTTACTTGAAGATTTTAATCTAAAATACCCTCATAAAATTCTTCAGTGACAAGGTAAAAATCCTGTTTTAAAAAACATATTGGCAAAAGGTTCTTTAAACTATTATCATCATTGAAAAATAAAAGCTCACTGGAAAGTCCTTATCCAGTTCATTTATCTGAACAGCAAAATTGTCTGGAAATACTCCTTCTTTTCCATTAAGTTCACCCTTCCACCAGCCAGCTTCTCCAGTCTCCTGAAATGCAATATGAAGAATAATTAAAATAGGGGTTATCTTTAAACAGGGAAAAATATTAGAGAATAGAAAACTATTGAACCCCATTATTTTTACAAGAAAAAAAAAGACCTAAACAGATCATGAGGTCCTCTTAATAGAAAATACCCCTTTCCCTGGCCAGACTGGCTCAGCAGTTAGAGCGTTGGCCCTCCGACTGATGAGTACCGGGTTCGGTTCCTGCTGAGGGCACGTGCCTTGGTTGCGGTTTGTCCCCAGCCCCGGTTGGGGTCGTGTGGGTGGCGGCCACTCGATGGTGTATCTCTCACATCAATGTTTCTCTCTCTCTCTTCCTCCCTCTCTCCCTCCTGCTCTGTCTAAAGATAAATGCAAAAAAATGTCCTTGGGTGAGGATTAAAAAAAAGAAGAAGAAAATATTCCTCACATATTTCTAGCAGTAGTTATAAAATTGGGTTGAATTTTTTTTAAATGAGTAATTTCACATTTAATTTACAAAGATAAAAAGTTATCAGAGAGGAGAAAAGAAAAAGAAAATAAAGGGGGAAAGGAGGGTGAAGAAGAACAAGAATTTCCAAACTCAATTAGATCAGTTGTTTCATAGGGGGGAAAAAGGCATCATATTGCACAAAAGCAAAAGACTAATGACAAACCTCAGACTCACTTTATTCACCATGAGATGTATCTTACTAAACATTCTGTATCTTACTAAACATTCTTCTCAACAGTTTACATACTCAATATTGATCATATTATTCGCTTGCTTTAGAAATTAACAAGCTATTCTTCAATGCCTTCCAAATGCTATCCTTCCATGAGAAATTTGTCCAAACTATATGGATATTCAAAATGTCATACAGTGAATCACCTGATCATTCATTTAAAACAATGGAAATTTTAAAAACTATTCCATAGGATTATACCACAAATAAAATATTTACAATTTTGCTGTATTACAAATACTACTTACAGAATTTTGCCCACATCCCAATAATACTGTTTTATTTTTCCTTTTGTCTCAGTTTAATCCAAGCTATAAAACTACCTCATTCCTTTAAGTAGCTACACTATTTTCCACAATATAAACTTTCATAACCATTTATATGTTGAGGGGTATTTAAATCATTTCCTCACTATTCCTTGTTGTTGTTTTTAATATATTAAAAACAATACACAACAAACATCAGATAAAAAAAATGAAATGAGGTCAAAGAGAAAGTAAGAACAGAAACCTAGAGATGGGTTATGGTTAAAGAAAAAACACAACATGATGGTAAAAATAATTTCCAATATATCTGTTATAACAAAGACAGACAAAAGAAGTTTCCTTTAAAAACAAACAAACAAACAAACAAAAACTCTCACTGTGTGCCAGGTTCTCAGGACACAGAAACAAACAAGACCAAGTCCCAGCTTCTCTAGAGTTCACATGATAGGGGGAACGTGAGAATACTGAGAAATGTTTCTATGAATAAATTACATAATATGATTCAGTGAGAAACAGAGAAAGATCTTACCTTGCTTATCAAATGGATTATCTCTCCCTCTTTAAAAGTAAGTTCATCTTCATTAGTACCTTCATAGGCAAATAATGTTCTACAATATTCCTTAGCTAAAATAAAGAATGTAAATAATGTAGCTTATATTGATTCTTTCAACAAATACTTATTAAATATCTATGTAGTACCAAAAAAAAAGTACACTAGAAGCTAATAGAATAAATTTAATCATTTCAGCCAATACTATATGTTGAATTAAGTAATTTCATCAGTTATTCACTTAATTACTTACTACATTCCTGCCATGCTCTAGGCACAGTTCTAACTGTGGGGGTGGAACATCAATGAACAAAAAATATTAAAAACCTTGATCTTGCCCTGGCGGGTTTGGCTCAGCAGTTAGAGCATGGGACTGTGGACCAAAGGGTGGCAGGTTCGATTCACAGTCAAGGGCATGCGTAACTGGGTTGCAGGTTCCATCTCCCGCCCTGGCTGGGGTCCTATGGGTGGCAGCCAGTCAATATGCATCTCTCTCATCGATGTTTTTCTCTCTCTTCCCTCCCATCCACACTATCTAAAAATCAATGAACAACAAAAATAAAAAACAAAACCTTGATCTCATGGTGCCTACATCTAATAGGATTTAATCATCTGATCAAGTAGTACAGTGTTGACAAATATCTTCAACAAATAATAATATATTTGAACATGTTTCATTCCTAGTATGACAATGTTATTGAAACACTTACCTTTAGTTTTACCTTCAGGGTCTGTTTTTGTCGTCTCCACACTCTGAGTTCTGGATCCCAGTGACTGCACGATTGAGGGCTACAACAGAGAAGGAAGGGATCAACTATTTTAGGTTAGAATAAAGAAAATACTGTTGCCCTGGCCAGGTTGGCTCAGCGGTTAGAGCGTCGGCCTGCGGTCCAGAGAGACCCGGGTTTGGTTCCCGCTAAGGGCATGTACCTTGGTTGCAGTTTGTCCCTGGCCCTGCATGGGTCATGCGGGTGGCAGCCACTCGATGTGTCCCTTTCACGACGATGTTTCTCTCTCTCTCTCTCTCTCTTCCTTTCTCTCCCTCCTGCTACATCTGAACAAAAAATAGAAAAATGTCCTCAGGTGAGGATTAAAAAGAAAAAAAAAAGATTACTAGTGTAAGCAGTAATACACAGGCATGGATATCTGTTCACTATTATGCCCATTTGTGCTCTTAAGATGAATGTGTGTCACTGTGTGAATTCAACCTCAAATGTAAAAAAGGGGTGGCATGGAAATCACAAGATGCACAACAACATAAACTGTGTGACAAGAAGGTCAAAGGCAATGTGTGTTTTCTGTTGACCTGCGTGCAGGGAACAGTGTTTGAGGCTCAACTTCAGAGTGGCCACGGTGGCAGCAGAGGTTTGTGACTTGGAAACAGTCATCAAGACAGAGGGGACAGAGGAGCCCTTCTTGCCAGGCCCAAGCCAGATCTATCAGCTCCTAGGTGCCCCCACACGGAAGGACCCTTCCACTACTCAGGCATTGCCTAGAAATGGATCACAGCAATTTGACCCTTAGCCCCACCCAAGATGCAATTCCTAAGAGTTGGCAGGGTTGTCCAACCACTCTGGACGCTTTTGGCAGAACGGACCAGGTCGGTCCTCTGACCCCCAGTGACGGCCTCCTGGTTCGGTGGCCTGGGCTCTGGCTAAGGCCGCTCCCTGGGGCCAGTTGGGGGCAGTGTGGCCTCCTTCACAGGACACACCTCTAACTTCACACAGGAGGTGCTGATGAAGAAACCAAAAAAGAGGAAGAGACACCGGACTCTAAGAGGAAGGAGGCAGAAGCCACACAGGCAATTTCAAGAGCAGAGAATGAGAGACTTGAAACTCCAATGATCTAGAACAGAGGTGTGACCATCAGAGCTTCCAGCACACTGCTGCTTCCTGACATCAGCTACACCACGAAGACCTGGAAGGAAGTCAGACTGCGGAAGGAAGACAGACGGAGCTGAAGAGTGACTGCAGAAGCTGCAGCAGCCACTGGGTCAGGAAACCCTGGCGCTGGCCTGGTACCTGCAGCTCCTTCACTGGGCGATGACATCAGCCCTCACGCTTCAGCTTGCAATGGAGGTGACGTGGAAATAGAAAATAAACTGTTAAATAAAGTTATAACACTTGAGGCCAAAGTTAGCCTTTCGAGACTTTCTGTTAAGACTTCCACAGCAAACAGCTATGATTACCATGAATTCTACAAACATCAATATACCACCAAGAAACTTAAACAGAAGCAAAACAAGTACACTGATGACAATCAACTTAAAATAGCAATATTGCAGAATGTACACAAACAAGTAGAAGAAATAAGGCATAGGTATCAAGATAAAATAAATATGAAGAAAAAAATTGAACTTGAACATCTTTAAAACAGGGTGGCTCGGGAATCAGAGAAACTAATGCCTCTAAAATTCATGATATGCAAAAATCTATTCAAATTCTAAAAACAGAAGAAAAAAAAAAACTGTCCACCAAGAAGACCAATGGACTTCAAGTCAGAATAAAATCCTCAAAAAGAAAATTAGATTCTGTACAAAATAAGAAATGTTTTAAGAAGGGAACAAGACCAGAAAAATGAGGAAAAGAAAAAAAATAAATAAGTGAGGAATATGGAATGAAGCCTGATGTTACAAAGCAAAACAGTAAGGTAAAATAGAAAAAGTTCTTCCCCAGAGGACATCGTGGAGAAGCACTGGCAGTCCAATGAGCACTGTCTGATGCTGAAACTAGAACAATGGGCTGGAGCAGCTTAAACCAGGAAAACAGTCTCACTGACAACGGAGAAGTCTCAAAACACGGAGAAGCAGCGGCAGGAATTCAGCTCAGCACAGGGCAGTTCTGCAAAGCCAGCCAGGCTCTCTCAGGTCCGGTGGAGGTGACTTCACCACAGCCCCCCACCGGGTCAGCGACCACAGAGCGCAGTCTCTCTGAAGGCAGTGAAACCTGCTGAACTCAGTGATCTTCTCAGTTCCTCCCAGAGGGGCTTCAAGGGCTGAGAAAATCAATGTAGGGAAAGAAGCAACAGTTAGAACCCTGGAGAAAGGTCACCAGAGTGTCTGGTCCCAGGGCTGCCACCTCCGAACCAGACAGAAAACAACGTGAGCAAACTGATTCAGAAATGAAGCCACTGATGGAGAAAACAGATGTTTTACAAAACCTACTTAAGGAAAAAGAGCTCTCATCAAAGCAAAAAAGGATGAATTCCTGTCTTGGAGTGAAAATTTCACCAATAAAGTGACTGAAAATGAACTTCTGAGGCAGGCAGTAACCAACCTGACCGAGACTACTGAATTTTGAAGTTGGCATGTGGAAACTCAAAGAGGAAAATGAAAAATTAGTAGAAATTTCATGGGAAAAGGAAACAGAAAGTCAGGCACTACAGGAGACCAATATGAGACTTTCTTTGATGAAAGAAAAAAAGAACCGAAAAATATTGCAATGACAAGGCTGTCACTTTAGAGCAACTACTGAGAAGAAAATGAAAAGAACGGGGCGAGACGCGGAATGGCATCTGCTTTCAGAGGCAGGCGCATCATCCAGCAAGAGACAGTTATGTTCCAACAGGAGGGAATGAAGCCACGTTGGCACTGGAACAGAAACAAATGGAAAACTGTGCCTTAGAGAAGGACAGTCACTATTACGTGACAAAGAAATACCCTTTAGCCAGGAACTGGAGTGATCCCTTCACCGAGCTTTAGGATCACAAGATTCCCCTTTGCCACAAGCTTGGGCTGCAGAAGACGAAGCAGCTAATCTTAGAAGGAAAGTCAGGCTCATCTTCTAATGTAATGGAAAAGGCAAGCCACCGAGTCCGTCTGTAGGTAGAGTCTCTGCAGGAACAAGGAGGGAGGTTGTCACAAGGAGGGAGATGGAAGTGCATGACAGCGTCCTGTCTCTCGGGAGCAAGGGAGCCGTGTGCGCACCCACCAGCTAACCTGGAGTTGGTACCAGCTGCATGGATGCAGAAGGCAGAGCCTAGACAGAATGCGGGGTGTCACAGGAGTGTCTGGATACAGTGAATGCTGGCTTGGATCAGAAAGAAGAACAAATTCAAAATGTAAATAACAAAATGAGGTCCAATAGGAAATGCTGGATATCATACAAAAGAAAAAAATGAACTTACTAAGTAGCCCAGAAGGAAAAGTTGACAGTCAAATGAGAAACCTCTTTAGAGGATGTTTTCCAACACTGACTCACGAAAGTCATCAAGTGTTACAATTAATGGGAAGCACGCTGCGTGTCAGAAGCGAGGAAAGGGGGCAGGTGTTCACTTTAGAGCAAGGAGGTGTTGCCAGGTGGGATCAAAAAGTGTCCCCATGCCCCTGATGGTATGGCTCTGAGGTCAGAGCATTAACTTGAGGACTGAAGGGTCCGGTCAAGGGCATGTACCTGGGTTGCAGGTTCCATCCCCTGCTCAGGTCAGGGTTGTGCAGGAGGCAACCAATGGATGTCTCTCTCTCTCTCACACTGATGTTTCTCTCTCTCTCTCTCGCCCTCCTCTCCCTTCCACTCTCTATAAAAATCAATGAAAAAATATCCTTGGGCAAGGATTAACAACAACAACAAAAATTGTCCCCCAAACAGCTCTGAGACCAATGCAGCAATATGCGCATAAGGGTTCTTTTCAGGTTTTGTTAAAGAGCTAGAAGTAGAATCTCATTCAGTTTTTCTAGCAGCTAAACACTCTACCTGTCACATGAAGCCTCAAGATTATCCAGGAAAGACAAAATGAGCTAAAAATATGCCACCAAGTCTTCACCCTTCCGGAGGATCCACACCCAAAACACAGATGTGAATCCCTGCTCCACAGCTGTTTCTCCTATTCACCCACCACGACCTGCAACTGGTAGGTCTGGGCATCTCCTTCTAAATGCCACTGCTAATGTTTTGCCCACATATTCACCTTTGCTACTGTCACCTGACCAGAGAACCAAGTTGTCCTGAAAGACCTTCCAAAGCAAGATAGAAGACTCCTGAGCCAGAGATAAGATGGCACTTTAAAACAGTAGCTTTAATGGGAAAAGCACATATTTGTTTTTGCAGTTTTACTTTGTTTAATAATCTTTTTTTGTTGTTGTTAAGACTCACTTGAGGATATTATTTCCATTGCTATTTTGTGTTGTTTTCTTTTGAGAGAGAGAGGAAGGGAGAGGTGAAGAGGAGAAAGGGAGAAGGGAGGGAGGGAGGGGGGGGGAGAGAGAGACAGAGAAGAGAAAGAGAGAATATCTGTGTAAGAGGGACACATCAATTGGTTGCCTGCTGCATGCATCCTGACCAGGGCCAGGCATCACAACTACAACCCAGGTACATGCCCTTGACGTGGAATCAAACCCACAAGCCTTCAGTGCTCAGACCAATGCTTTAAACACTGAGCCAAACTGGCCAGGAACAAGCTTTATCTTTAAACCCAAGAATCAAATAGTCCCCATAATCTTAAGGCTAGACGTCTCAGAGCTAGGAGTAGATAGGGTACAAAGTACAAGTTTCCTTTCCTGAACCCAAATCATAATTACATGAGAAAATATGTAGCAAGCTAGAAAGAAAAAAAATATTGAAACTAAGACTATGTTAGGAGAAAATGTCAGAATACATTTCACCAACCAGTCCTAAAGTGAAACACAGCTAAACTAGGCAAGTAAATACTGAAATACCTTAAACTCGTAAGCATTAAACAAACACATACTAACGGGAACTGCAAGAGAAACGATGCCCTAAAGGTCAAGGGAAGGCCTCCTACCTGAAACAAGGATCCATCTGAAGCTGCCAGATGTTAACACCAGGAACAACCTGCTTTGAAATAAATGCCCTTCCGACTGTAGCTATTTTCCCCCCAAAGCTATTTTAAACACTTTCGTTTAAAATATTATTAGAGCTTACAACGCATAGAACATTCACTTTGATTTATTCACAAGGCCAGTGAAATGCTAAAGAAAAATAAAGTTCCGCCTGCAGGTGGAGCGGGAGGTGAGCAGGTCTGCCCACTGCTGACGGGCCAGGGAAAAGCTAAGCAGAGCCTAATGAACTTCACGTCTCAGCGCAAAGCCACCTTAACACGGCCCGTGTGAGGCCTACTTCAAATTAAAAGAAAAATATATCATTTTAGCTTGAAAAGGCAAAAAAGCCTTGGCTTCTCTATTTTTACACCATGACAACTAAAACTAGCTTCCACTAAGGACAGTTTCTATTAAATTTACCACAAAACATGCTAATTTTATCAAAATCATACAAAAACATTAATCACTGTAAACGTGAAAACAGTTTCTCACAGTCTTCTTTACCAATGACCAGTGATCTCAAAATGGGACATTTAAAATTTGCAGTGACTTTTACATTCTAAAAAGTGCTAAAGGAGACAAAGAGTAGAGTTATAATCTAAGGAACGCTTATTGGTTATTACCTTTTCTGATTTTTTCTCTTCTGTGTCACTACTGGATGTTCTTGTCCTGAGTCTCACAGAGCCTTCTTTAAAAATATCTCCAAATCCGACTCCTCGGATCTTCTTCGGCTGTGTCGCTGAGCCGGGGGCAGTGTCGTTCCCGTTCCCCAGCGAGGGGAAAGGCGAGGTGGGCCCCGTCCAAACCGTTTCTGAAAGAATCATGTGTGAAGAAGGACACCTCACAGGAGGAAAGTCTTGATATTCCCCCCTTCCACAGTGTCTATATTCTGTACTGCTTAATAGAAAGTGTAAATAAAAATAACAAATTAGCCCTGACCGGTTTGGCTCAGCAGTTAAAGCGTCGGCCTGAGGTCCTGAGAGACCCGGGTTCGGTTCCCGCTAAGGGCATGTACCTCGGCTGCAGTTTGTCCCCGGCCCTGCTTGGGTCGTACGGGTGGCAGCCACTCGATGTGTCCCTTTCACGTCGATGTTTCTCTCTCTCCCTCCCACTCAATCTGAACAAAAAAATGAAAAAATGTCCTCAGGTGAGGATAAACAAAAAAAAGTAGTGTGTGAGATTAAAAAGAAGAGTAAAAAAGAGATGAATCCAAGTCTTTGGTGTAAGTAAAAGGACTATGGAGTTGCCACTAACTCAGATAAAGAAGGCGGCATACAGCAGATTTGGGGGCTGGGAAAGGGCAGAAGATCAGTTTTGACCCCTAAGTTTGAGATTCTTATTAGCATCTCGGTAGAGATTCTGACAGGCTTATGGTGGGGAGAAGACTATACTAGGGAGGACAATTCCAGCAGATAGTGACTGACTTTATAGAATAAGGGGAAAAATTAAAAGCAAGTTTTATTTAGCAAATAAGTGGAACCTGAAAAGTGGCAAAAGGACACTCTACACAAAAAAAAGGTTATATTTGACAAAAAGGAGTCATTTTGTTATAAAAATGGAAATGTAACACTACCTTTGAGAAGTAAATCTTTTCATGAAATTAAATACTAAAAGAATATCTTGAGATTTTAGATAGAAACCCATCAGAACAGAATTATGAATTTACCACATTCCTATAAAAAATATAATAGTAGCTCTCGTAACTTTTATTTTATGGTCCTACAAGTCCTTCAGTGAAAACTGAGGGCATACACATAAGTTACCCATGAAGGCTTGGGTAATATTCCCACCTTTGTCTAGACTCAAAATTATCTTCTTTGCAGTAATAGCTAAAACCAAGAATATCATCCCCACATATTTCAGTTTATTGATTAAATGAAGATAACAGAAGAGCACCACTAAATATAAAAAAGTATAAGGAGAAACTATGTAAAATAAACTGTGATGGACATGGAATTAAAGTACTATCAGCAAAAAAACAAAACCAAACCATTTTATAACGTACAGTCGACTATAATTCCTGTAACAGCTACTACAAATACCATTTTATTAACTAAAAAGACAATCAAAATACCAGTTACAGAGGATATTACACTTTGTTAGGACACAGGAAGAGTGAATATCAATTCTTTTTTTTTTTTTTTAGTCCTCACCCGAGGACAGTTTTTGATATTTTGTTCAGATAGAGTGGGAGGGAGAGAGAGAGAGAGAAACATCAACGTGAAAGGGACACAGCGAGTAGTTGCCACCCACACAACCCAACCAGGGCCGGGGACAAACTGCAACCGAGGTACATGCCCTTATAGCGGGAACCGAACCCAGGTCTCTCCGGACTGCAGGCCAATGCTCTAACCGCTGAGCCAAACTGGCCAGGGCTGAATATCAATTCTTTAAGTCATAATGCATAAGATCAAACTCTAAGCACTAGATACTTTTATTACTATAGTTCCAAAGTCCTTACAAAGCACTCACTTTCTGGCATTCAAATCAATATTCAAAAACTTTCTGCCTAAAAATTAGAGCTTAAAAAAGAAAGGAATTACAGTGTACTTAAACCGCTGACTTACCACGCCATAATCACCAAGTCCCACATTTAGAATGCTTGTTATTGTAAAGAGGTTAAGCAAGCAAGGAAGTGCATTTTTAACAGATATAACTCCGCAAGGTCACTAAAATTCAAATAAAGCTAAACAGTGCAAGAAAGTGCCCAAAGTATTTATAATTATAAAAATAACAATATACATCCAAGAATAAACTTGTTTATTTTGTGAGTGGTCCCATGTGGATTTTAAATTTTGTACATATTTTAAGGCATTATAAAAATTACTTCGACCTCACTTATTTGTGGAATATAATGAAAACAGTCTGAGGAACAGGGTAGTCCCAGAGACATGGAAGTGGGGTACAGACTGACAATCCACAGAAGAGGGGGTGAGGGGAGAGAGATAAACCACAGAACTTATATGCATGTATGTATGAACAATGGACATGAACAACAAAGGTAGGGACAAGGTGGGGAGGGAAAGTGGGGGGAATCAGTGGGGGGAAAAAGGAGAAATATCTGTAACAAAAATAAATTAATTAATTTACAAAAAATCATTTCACCATAAGCTTTAATACCAATTTTTTTTTTTATCCTCACCTGAGGACATTTTTTTTTTTTTTAATATTTTGTTCAGATAGAGTGGGAAGGGGAGAGAAAGAGAGAAACATCGAAGTGAAAAGGACACATCGAGTGGTTGCCACCCACACAACCCAACCAGGGCCGAGGACAAACTGCAACCAAGGTATGTGCTCTTAGCAGGAACCGAACCCAGGTCTCTCCAGACCACAGGCCGACGCTCTAATTGCTGAGCCAAACCGACCAGGGCTAATTAATGCCAAATTTTAATGTTAAAAATAAATATCAGAGGATCCAATACCCATAAAACATAAGAAATACCAATACAGATCAGTAATAATTCAGGGGACAATTTGCTAAGGAATAAGTGTACCATTAAATTTAAGCCAGATGTTTGTTTAAAATATAAGTTTTGACTTCAGAATTGGTGCCAAGTATTCTCAAATAAGAGTAACAAAGTAATAAATCTATCTGTTATGACTCTACTATTCATTTCTATCTCAATGATTTAAAAAAAAAAAAAAAACATCTCTATTGTTGAATGCATTACAGATATCCCCTTTTTCCCCCACTGACTCCCTCCTCCCCAACCCCACCCCCTCCTACCTTCCCCACACTAATAATGTCTGTGTCCATTGGTTATGCATATATGCATAGAAGTTCTTTGGTTTATCTCTTCCTACCCTCTCTCCACCCTTCCCTTTGAGATCATTAGTCTAACAATTTGTACTTCTTAATTCCTTCATCTTTTTCACTCATCCCCCAGCCCCCTCCCATCTATGTGTCTCTTTCTGTTCTGCTTGCTCATTAGTTGGTAGATTCAATTGTTGATAGAAATGTACTTGCCATTTTATTGTTTTATTGTGTGTGTGTTTCATTCTTTACCCAAGGATACCTGTCTACTTATTATCTGACAGAGTAGGAGGGAGAGAGAAAGAGACAGAGAGAAACATCGATGTGATAGAGCCACATCAACTGGTTGCCTCCCCCACGACCCAACCAGGGCCAGGGACGAATCGCAACCTAGGAACATGCCCTTCATCGGAATTAGACCCACGACTCATTCATTGGTCTGTGACCCAGTGCTCTAACCGCTAAGCCAAACTGGCCAGGGCACTGCCATTTTATTGTTCACATTTTTGTTCTTCTTCAAGAAGACACTTCAACATTTCATATAATACTGGTTTGGGGGTGAACCCCTTTAGCTTTTTCTTGTCTGAAAAACTCTTTATATAACCATTAATTTTAAATGACAGCTTTGCAAGACAGAGTAATCTTGGTTGTAGGTCGTTGCTTTTCATCACTTTGAATATCTCTTGCCACTCCTTTCTGGACTGCAGAGTTCCTTTTGAGAAATCAGCTGACAGTCTATGGGAGCTCCTCTGAGGGTAACCAACTGCTTTTCTCTTGTTGCTTTTAAGATTCTCTCTTTGACCCATAGGTGTGGCCCACTGGTTGAGCAATAGCCCATGCACCAAGAAGCTGCTGGTTCAATTCCTGGTCAGGGAACATGCCCAGAATGTAGGCCTGATCCCCAGAGGGGAGCATGCAGGAGGCAGCCAATCGATGTTCTTTCTCATCGATGTTTCTCTCTTTCTCCCTCTCCTTTCCTTTCTCTCTCAAATCAATAAAGAAAAAAAAAATTTTTTTTTAAAGATTCTATCTTTGTCTTTAACCTTTGGTATTTTGATGATGATGATGAGTCTTGGTGTGGATCTCTTTGGGTTCATCTTATTTGGAACTCTCTGTGCTTCCTGGACTTGTAAGTCTGTTTCCTTCACCAAGTGAAGGAAGTTTTCTGTCATTATTTTTTCAAATAGGTTTTCAATTTCTTGTTCTCTCTCTTCTCCTTCTGGCACCCCCATGATGGGAATGTCGGTACACTTGAAGTTGTCCCAGAGGCTCTTTACACTATCCTCATCTTTTTTATTTCTTTTATCTTTTTCCTTTTGTCTGTTCTGACTGGGTGTTTTTTGCTTCCTTATATTCCAAATCGATGGTTTGCTTCTTGGCTTCACCTACTCTACTATTGATTCCCTGTAAATTATCCTTTATTCCAGTTAGTGCATCCTTCATTTGACCGGTCCTTTTCCATGTTGTTGATGTTCTCACTAAGTTCCTTGGAGTTCTGCTTAAGTTCCTTGAAGTTCTCATTAAGTCCCTGAGCACCCTTATAACCAGTGTTTTGAACTTTGCATCTGATTGACTGTTTATCTCCATTTTGTTTGGTTCTTTTCCTGGAATTTTGTTCTGTTCTTTCACTTAGGGCATGTTTGCTTCCTCATTTTGGTGGCCTCCCTGTTTGTCTCTATGTATTAGGTAGAGTTGCTATGTCTCGTAGGCTTCATAGTGTGGTCTATTGTAGTAGGTTTCCTGCAGGGTCCAGTGGCACAGCCTCCTTGGTCACTCCAGCTGGGCCCTCGAGGTGCACCCCTGGTGTGGACTGTATACCCTTCTGTTGTAACTGAGTCTTGATTGCTGTTGGCACATCAATGGAAGGGATTTATTCAGGCTGATCGGCTGCAAGGATTGGCTATGCTCACTGACCACTGGCCTCTGACTACCTTGGATGGTCAGCTGTGTAGGGGCCCACCACACAGAGCAAGACTTACTTCAGCAGGGCTCTGGTACCCACTGAGTCTTGTCACTTGTGGAGGTAGCTGGGTGGTGGTGCTGTGATGTGGTCTAAAGCTGTCCACGGGGTGCGCTGGCTCTGGAGCAAGGTCAGCAATTGCCTATGTTCTACCCAGGGCCACCCAGCATAAGCCACAAAGTGATCTACTGATGGCTGCTTCTTGTGCTGGGCTTGAAGGTGCCCAGGAAAAGCCAAGTTGTGAACCTAGCCTCGCTGCTTCTAGTGCCTGGCCTGGGGTCACTTAATAAGAGGTATGGGGCTCACTGACACCAGATGCTGCTTGTTTGAGAAATTTTAGAAAAATCTGAAGCAGGATCCAAGACAGGCCAATCCTATGGTAAAGCCATTAGAAACAGCTTGATGCCCTGGCCGGTTTGGCTCAGCAGTTAGATCGTCGGCCTGCGGACCAGAGAGTCCGGGGTTTGGTTCCCACTAAGGACATGTATCTTGGTTGCAGTTTGTCCCTGGCCCCAGTTGGGGTCATGTGGGTGGAAATCACTCAATGTGTCTCTCTTACATCAGTGATTCTCTCTCTCTCTCTCTTTCTCCCTCTCTCCCTCCTGCTCTACCTGAAGATAAATGCAAAAATGTCCTCGGGTGAGAATAAAAAAAAAAGAAACAGCTTGGGTGGGGCCGAAGGTTGGATGGGGCAGGGCCTCAAGGAATCACCAGAGTGGGGCAAACTGTGCAAGTCCCAGATATGGTGGCCATCTGCCACTCTGGGGAAGGGCTCACCACAGGAACAACATCCTCCCACAGCACGTCTGTCCAGGAGAAAGCTGCTTCTCCAGCCCTCGCCCCAGTGCAAACAACTCAGTTCTTCCCCGTATGTCTCTAGTGCCATTCAAGCTGCCTCCCCCACACTGGAGCCCAGAAGGAGTGAGTTGCAGTAAGATGGTGCGGGCCCTTGAAGAGGAGCTTCCTGGGGCTCCAGCAGCCTCAGCCTCCCTCAGCCTCAGTTCCCGCTGGTTTTTCCAGCCAGAAGTTATGAGGATTCTCTTTCTGGCACTGGAACCCTGAGCTGGGCACCTCGTGTGGGATGGGGACCCCTCAGTCCTCAGTGAGCACCTTCCCAGCCAAGGTGTCTCTCCTGATTTTTATCCTCCACACTTGGGAGTGGGGCCAGCCTGTCCACTACTCCACCACTCCTACCAGTCTCGATATGGCTGCTTCTTTAATTGCATAGTTGTAAGACTTCCACTCAGCGCGATTTCACACAGTTCTGAATGATGGTTGTTCTGTAGTTTAGTTGTAACTCTGATGTGGTTGTGGGAGGAGGCAGGTAGCGCGTTTACCTACCTGCCATCTTGACCAGAAGTCTCTCTTGGTTTTTTGGTTATTTTCCATCCTCACACAAGGACAATTTTTCATTTTTTGTTAAGATAGAGTGGAAAGGAGAAAGAGAGAGAAAAGAGAAACATCGATGTGAAAGGTACACATCGAGTGGCTGCCACCCGCACGACCCAACCAGGGCCGGGGACAAACTGCAACCGAGGTACATGCCCTTAGTAGGAACTGAACCCAGGTCTCTCTGGACCACAGGCCAACGTTCTAACTGCTGAACCAAACCGGCCAGGGCTCTCTTGTTTTTATCTCAATGATTTTCTATCTTTCAATGGAATCAGCATCTTCACTAAAGACTAACTTTAGCATCTTTGACTTCAGGAGTTTCTAAAATTCATGAAGTGGATAGGACATTTGCAAACTCAAATCAAAACTGTGAGTTGCCCTGCCAGTGTGGCGCAGTGGTTGAGCATCAACCCATGCACCAAGAGGTCACCAGTTCAATTCCTGGTCAGGGCACACACCCAGGTTGTGGGCCAAATCCCCAGTGGGGGGCATGTAGGAGGCGGCCAATTGATGTTCTCTCTTATCAATGTTTCTATCTCTCTCTCTCTCCCTTCTTCTCTTTCTAAAATCAATAAAGAAAAAATAAAAAATAAAACTATATGTGAGCATATCGTTAAGTGGGAAGAAATAAGATAACATAAGTATTATCATTTCACAATGAGGGTACTAAAAGTTTACCTCAAGCTAAAGCACACATCAGAGAAAACAACATTAAATTATTTTCCCTAGACATTTAAGCCCATTTTAAGACATTGTCATAAACTGTTTTGTTTATTTGCTTTTTTTTTTTTTTTTTTTTATCCTCATTCGAGGACATTTTTCCATTTTTTGTACAGACAGAGTGGGAGGGAGAGAGAGGAAGGGAGAGAGAGAGAGAAACATCGATGTGAAAGGGACACAACGAGTGGCTGCCACCCGCACAACCAACCAGGGCCGGGGACAAACTGCAACCGAGGTACGTGCCCCTAGTGGGAACCGAACCCGGGTCTCTCCGGACCGCAGGTGGACGCTCTAACCGCTGAGCCAAACCGGCCAGGGCTGTTTATTTGCTTTTTAAGTCGATAAATCAAACCTCACAGTTCAAAAGTTAAGAAAATAGTTTAAAAAGATACAAAATAAACACTAGATAATACATAAAGTTTACTTAAACCTATTCAAATTTTTAAAAATAGTCTACCTGAATCCTCCTGGGCTTCATGAGCTTCACCATCATCTGTTACCTCTAATTCTTTCACAAAATTTGAAGGAAACAGTCCCACTTTGTTGTTCAGGGTTCCACTCCACCAGCCTTCCTCTACCTGAAAGAGTTCAAAAGTCAAAAATAATAAAAATTTTTCTTAAATGAGTATCTTCTCCCTATGGGAAAATTAAACTACATAAATGAATGAGCACAAAGTTAGAAATGCAAAATAATCCCTTTAGGAAACACAATAGGAAAATCTATTTTAAATAAATTAAATCTAAGTGGATTGGATTAACCACATATGGGATAAGTCATGTACCAACAACACTCTGCAACATTTACAATGAGAACTTGTAATCAATTGCAACCTGTAAAGAAACAATTTTCATAAAAGTATTAGATAAACAAGAATAGTGTATTAATACCAAAAGCAGATAAGTTTTCTTCTGGAGTGTTACTCTTTTATACACTACTGAGCCTCGGTTTGTCATTATGACATATTCCATTAAACCCTCGATTCTGCAGACCTTGATTTAACAGACAAAATTCCTGGTCCATATATTATATGTGAGAATTAACAACCTGTTAATTTAAAAATGCTTTTAACCAGGATTTGCTCACAATTAAATGAACAGGTTATTTTTGTTGTTGTTGTTAATTGTTATTTTAACAAATTTTAACGAATAGGCCGTATGTTGGAAAAAACATAAATAAAGATTACATATCTACAACTATAGCCTGAATATTTAAATCCAAGAATCATCACTCGTAAACAATGTTCAGTGAATGATGAGCCCGTGATCACACCACGAGTGTGCGGTAATTTGTTTTATTGTCCCGTGGCATGACTTTCTGCAGCAGTTTTTTTTGTTTGTTTTTTGTTACTCCTCACCCAAGGATATTTTTCCATTGATTTTTTTAGATAGAGTGGAAGGGAGGCAGGGAGAGAGAGGGAGAGAGAGAAACATCAATGTGAGACAGACACACTGATTAGTTGCCTCCCACATGATCCCAACCAGAGCCAGGGATCAAACCTGAAACCCAGATATGTGCCCTTGACCAGATTCAAACCCAAGACCCTTTGGTCTATGGGTCTACTGCTGAGCCAAACCTGCCAGGGTTCTGCAGCAGTTTTAAGGAAAGCTGCCAGGGTTCACCCCAGCAGTGTGCATTTGTTTACTCATTGTGAATGCACACATTTACTACACCTAGTGAATATAAATTTAAAATTATAGTAATACATACAGAGAACTTTTCTGTGAAATTAAACTTTTATACATACTTAATTTTAATTACACAAATATGTCTACATAATTAAAACCAGGGAAACTAACTAATTTGTCAATTTTTTAATATATGAATTTGGAAAACCTACTTTATTATATAATGGATTTTTGAATTTAAGGGACACCCCCTCACCAGAATTAGTCCATTATATCAAGGTTTTACTATATTATTTAAGTATCTGTAAATTTTTATTTGGAAATGTTTGATGAATAAAAGAATATAACCTCCTAATCACCACATGAAATTACTTAGCCCTTTACTTGAACAGTGAGCCATAACTCAAGTATGAAAAAAGAATCACTTATTTTTAAAAATCCAGATAGCAAGCTCTACTAAACACTCCCCCAACCAAAAATACCCTCAAAAATCAAACTCTTTAGAACAATTTATATTCCATACCAATGTTACTAAATTTTCATGAAGTTACTTAATACTTTTTGGGATGGGGGTAGTTTTTAATGTCATGTATAGGAACACATTAAAGAGAATACCACCAGTAAAAAGTCAATCCCTTATTAGGTCTTGAAACAAGCTGTTTGGTTAAAGTGACCCTTTTATTTACTGTAACTAGGAGATTAAAAAAAAAAGATGAGGAAAAAAAAAAACCAACAATAAAGGCACTTGATTCTGTTGATGAGTAATTCTGAGCAGCCGACGCTGCACCTGGTTGCAGGGGTGCACGCTCAGAGATGCCTCTGAGACCCTGCTTGAAGGTATCCACACACCCTGATGGAGGGGCGGCTGGCGTGGTGTATTCTGACTACAAGCCACTAAGCGCCACATGAAGAGGAGAAAAGGCTCAGAAGTAAACCTGGGCATTTTCAGGGGAACTCAACTGTGAAAGTAGACCACACTGACTAGGAACAACAAAGAAACACATCAGAAAACCATTATCTATACCTGGGATCCCAAATTAGCAGCAATTGGGTAGTTAGGGTAAATAATTTATAATAATTCCTATTAAGGAATTCTTAAGAGGCAGGGTAGTATGGTGGTGAAAAACACTGACTCAGAAACAGACCTTTGTGGATTCAGATTCCAGCTCCTCTGCATGCAGGCATATGACCTTGGGCAATGTTGTCTGAAGCAAGATCTCCTAACCCCTATACTGATCTACAAAGTAAACTTGATATTCCTCCCACCAAGAAGTGGTGGCCTTTGTCTCCACCCTCTTCAGTCTTGCTTGTCATTAGCAGAATGTGGTGAAAGTGACACTATCACTTCCAAGGTTAGATTGTAAAAAGCATCTCTATGTTCACTGGAATGCTTACACTTTAGAGCCCTGAATTACTTACCATGTAATAAGTCCAACTATCCTGAAACCTCCACCCACTACAGTAAAATAGTCAAGCCACATGGAGAAGCTACACAATGGTTTTCCATAGGCAATCCTAATCTTCAAGTCTTCGAAGCGCCAGACATGTCAGTGAAGAAGCCTTCCCAGGATTCCAGCCCCCAAATTGGATCTTTCTAGTTGAGCCCCCCAGACATCAAAGAACAGACATAAGTCATCCCAGCTGTGCCCTATCTGAATCTGTGATCACACACCCATGAACCTAATAAAATAGCTGTCTTTGCCACAAAGTTTGGGATGGCATGCCATGTAGCAAAAGTAACGGACACAGCCAATCACTTATCTTGTATGATTCAATCTCTTCATATGCAAAACTGGAATACAAATTCTGTTCTCCAAGTTGTTTAAAAATTAAAGGAATAAATGTGAAACATTTTTTTAGATATAAGTTAAACAAACATTATTATTATTGCCACATAGTAGAAATAAAACAGAACTGCCTTTCGTATAAACACACTGGAACTTAAACCTAAGTGATACACTGAATTGTACGATGTTAGGACACAATATCAATCCCTGTGACAATATATGGTATCAAAACATATACTCTGAAAATGAAAACTTCAGCTGCCAAATAAAACTTTAATATTTCATTAATGGTAAAAGCAGAGATATGAAAAGGTATTTTTAAAATATTCTAAGATATTAAAATGAGAGAAAAGAGTTTTGGGGTAATATTTCAGTGTGCTCATTCAAACAGTACAAAGCATTTTAAAGATTTTGCTTTTGTTTTCCTTTGCTATGTAAAAAGTAAAATTCTGTCTATTTTACTGCTTTGTGTCTAAAGTGAATTCAGAATCAAAGGAAAGGTTTATTTATATTCTTAGCCACTTAGATTAATTTTTAGTTTAATAAGGTTTGCTTTTCTTCCTAAAATCAACAATTATGGTACACAAGTATTAGGTATAGCAAGGATGAGTGAAGTTTTAGTTCTACATATAAAACAACAATATATTAAGTCATTAAAGATCCATTTGAAGTCTCTATTTTAAAATTATTATTAAAAAAACAACAACAATGAGCTCGGCCGGTGTAGCGCAGTGGTTGAGCATCGATGTACCAGGAGGTTGTTGGTTTGATTCCTGGTCAGGGCACATGATCAGGTTGTAGGCTCGATCCCCAATGGGGGGCATGCAGCAGGTGGCCAATCAATGTTCTCTCTCGATGTTTCTACCTCTCTCTCCCTCTCCCTTCCTCTCTCTCTGAGAGCAATAAAGAAAAAAAATTAAAAAAACAAAATGAAATTTGCAAAAAAGTAACAAAAAACTCATATCCTTAACAAAGCATTTTTATGATATGCAGAGCATCAATCCTAATTGCTCCTTACCTCTAACACATGTTTTCCTTACCTCTTCATTAATATCAATAATATCTCCCACTTTCAGCTCCAGTTCATCATCATTTTGTGGAATGTACTCAAAGAGAACTTTACACTGCCGCTTCTTGGTCTCTAAATTAAGTAACAACAAACATTAGATTAAGAAAGATCATTAAAACAAACAACAGCACCTTTATTTACATACTATGTTTATTGTCATAGAATTTATATAGTACACAAACAGAAACTGAACACAATTAAAAAAACAAAACAAAACAGAACATGGTAAGCAAGAATTCTAAGCAACTAACCACAATCAGTTCTGGTTGGCTTTCCACTTTGCCCCCACATTACAATCTGTTCAGCCTGAAAGAAATTCAAATCAACTACAAATAGGGTATAAGGATCACGACAATGAAATCATTTATACATCTGATCTTACCAATTACACAAAAGTAAAATATCCACTGCCAATTTTGAGACTAGAAATACAGACACTGTTGGCACACAAATTCATCACATGAAGTCCTCCAAGCCAGCAATTTCCAGACTACTTTCTGATCAAAGTCATGAATATTGAAAATACACTAATTTAAAAGTATCTACATTAAAGAGAGAGAGACAAAATGCACAAATCTAGTATGTACTTATCTTCTTTAATAGCTCTGTTTTCTGACAGATAAAAATCAACCTCACATAGGTAAGGATAAAAATAATGTTACTTTAGCTTTTCAAGCAGGCTTCATTCATTCAGACAAGCATTGATCATTTACAACCATGCAGGTTTGTGGTTCTCAACTTCTTTCAAACTCTTAATACTCTTAATAATTGAGAACTCAGACTCAACCCCATCTTTAAAAGTGAATCATTAAAACTGCTATGGGTAGATGACCTGGAGTGGTTGATTCAAGGATTGCTTCTTACTACTCAAAGAAATCAAGAGAAGGCTGAGATTTGGAAGAACAGCAATGCAAGAGTTAGGAAGATCATCCAAAACAAAGATGTGTATTAGAGACCAAGGCTAAGATCACCCACACTCTCATATTCCCAATTACTACCTACAAATGCGAAAGTTGGACAGTGAAAAAGGAGGACAGGAAAAAAAAAACTAATTCATCTGAAATATGATGTTGGAGGACCAGAAAGCTCAACAAGTGGGTCCTAGAGCAAATTAAGCCTGAAACATTGCTGGGGGCAAAAATGACAAAACTGGAGCTGTCCTGCTTTGGGCTATCATGAGAAGAAGGCAGTTACTTCAGTTCTGACCTTTTATGGATCTATGAAATTATCAACGCAAAAAATAAATTCAACTGAACCCCCAAAACAAAAGAACACTGCAACCAACATTATGAAGGGGTGCAAAACAAACGTGATCAAGTAGCTAGAAGAATCTCCAGTCTCCAAATAAGAAACAGTTACACCTCAGTAACGGTTTTCCCCTCCCTAGAGGATTTTATGATTTCTTAAAATGTTTTACAATGAAAGGAACCAAAGAAAGATAACACTAACCATATTTGAATAATTAGCCTAGAGTTTCCAGTAAACATTTTCAAATGTTAATTTTCATTAGGTCTCAGAATAATTTTAAATAATTTAATAGTGACTTTATGTGTACTGCAGGAAAATTTTCGTCTGTTAGACTAGAGTTAAATATACTCCCTAAATACCTTTGCAGTTGTTGAAGTGACCTTGAGAAAATGTGTTAATAAATGTGTTCTTTACAGTTAGCACCTCATAAATGAGGAGAAAACTATTTTTACTGTTGAAAAGAAAAATCTATTTGTTCAGGGTACACTTCAAAGAAAATCTTTTGTATCTTTCTGATAATCTTAGGTCTTTAAAGAAATAGCTTGTTTTTTAATTAGTATAAATATATTTTTAAAAGATTTAAAGTAAAAGAGCATTATTCAGTCCCCCATAGATAAGCATATCAATCAACTTTAAAAAGCCTAGTTATTATTTTAACCAAAAGCCTTGGTCTTTCTTCCTCACACCAAGCAAAATTTTTCACTGAGTGGTTTTATTCCCAACATAGTTGGAAAATTATTTGCAAAGTAATTTTTTTATTTTCAAAGGAAGAGCCACATTGGATAAAAACTTCTAAATAGCCCCTATTATTACCACAAAATGTGATTTCTTTATACTAAAAATATTTTTTTCACAATTCAATTTTTAAATATGGCTCACTCCCAAGTTTAGGTAATGGCCTCTATTGAACTTGTCTATTAATTGGCAGCAAAATTAAAGGAAGTTTGAGATTTTTCACATTTTCAAATGGCATGCACAATGTCTACTCATACATATTGATCAATGAACATTTACTTAAGTATCAGAACCTCTGCTAAGCACTAAAAAAATTAAAATACATATGTAATAATAGAGTTGTCAATAAAAATGCATGAAATGTTGATTTTAAAAAACAGCAGCTAGAATTTTTTTTTTTTATGTTTTTAATTTATTGATTTTAGGGAGGGAAGGTGCGGGGGGAGGGGGAAGATTTGTTGTTCCACTTATTTACGCATTCATTGGTTGATTAGCCCTGACTGGGGATAAAACCCACAACTTTGGCATTATCAGGACAAAGCTCTAAATCAACTGTGTAACCCAGCCAGAGCTTTTTTTTTTTTATTTGTTTTTTAATAGAATTTATTGGGGTGACATTGGTTACTAAAATTATATAGGTTTCAGGTATACAATTCTACAATAAATCATCTGTATATTATATTGTGTGTTTACCACCCCAAGTCAAGTCTCCTTCCATCACCATTTATCCCTTTGCCATTTCCCCTCCCCCACGTCCCTTCGGCAATCACCATACTGCTGTCTGTGTCCATGAGTCGTTTTTCTTTGCTTAATCCCTTCACCCTTCCCACCCATCCCCTAACCTTCTACCCTCTCACAGCTGTCAATTTGTTCCATGAATCTGTCTCCACTTCGTCAGTTTAATTTATTCATTAGGTTCCACATATGAGTGAAATCATAAGGTACTTTCCTTTCTCTGACCAGCTTATTTCATTTAGCATACTACTATCCAAACGTAGCAACTAGTATTTTCTTATCACTTGTAATCTCTACAAAGCTTTTCAGATCTACAAACAATGTCAAGAAAAAAATTTTTAAATCATTCTGTAAGTAAAGTAAGTATTAACAAAAAGCCCTGGCCAGTGTGGCTCAGTTGGTTGAGCATCATCCCGTGCACCAAAAGGTTGCAGGTTTGATTCCTGGTCAGAGCACACGTCTGGGTTGCAGGCTCAATGCCCAGTATGGGGCATGTAGGAGTCAGCTGATAGGTGTTTGTCTTTCACATTGATGTTTCTCTCTCTCCCCCTTAGTCTCTCTCTAAAAATCAATAGGAACGTTCTTTTTAAAAGAATTACCAAAAAAATTTTATAAGTAAAGCTATGAACAAGGAAGAGGATAAAGGAGATATACATCAAAGGCAGGGACATATATTTCATATCTCTTTTTAAAAATTTTTTTCTTTATTTATTTTAGAGAGAGGAAGGGAGAGAGATAGAAATACCCATGAGAGAGAACATCTATTGGCTGCCTCCTGCATGTCCCCCATTGGGGATTGGTCCACTGGGCTTGTGCCCTGACCGGGAATTGAACTAGTGACCTCTTGGTGCATGGGCCGATACTCAACCACTGAGCCACACCAGCTGGGCTCATATCTCTATGTACCAGTACCAGTCTCTTTCACAAACATCTCCCACACAACAGACCATTAAAACATATATATTATCATCATTTTACCAATGAGAAACGAATTCAGAAATTAATCTGTCCAAGACCGCAGAGCTAAAGAGAGGCAAAACTAGAATTATACCCACTTCTGACTCTTAAGCCTTTTATCTTTCCACTATATCATCACATTGCCTCTACTGACTGCAGTTCTATAATATAGTTCATGCCATCTAGTCATGTCAGATCTTTATTCCCTGAAAATACCATACACTTGCTTATCTCTGTGGTCTTCAAAGGTATAATCTAAGACTTCCGGTCAAGACGGCGGCATAGGTAAATGTGGTTATTGCGTCCTCCCACAACCACATCAAAGTTACAACTAAACTACAGAACAACCATCATTCAAAACCGCCTGAAATCCAGCTGAATGGAAGTCCTACAACTACAAAATTAAAGCAGCAGCCACATCAAGACTGGTAGGAGGGGCGGAGGTGCAATGGGCTGGTCCCACATCCACGTGTGGCGGATAAAAATCAGGAGGACACCTCAGCTGGAAAGGTCCTTCATGAGGACTGAGGGGTCCCCATCTCACACCAGGTACCCAGCTCAGGGTTCCAGTGCCAGGAAGAGAAGTCCCCATAACTTCTGGCTGGAAAAACCAGCGCGAACTGAGGCTCAGGAAAGCTGACTCGGCTGGAGCCCCAGGCAGCTCCTTAGAGGCCCGCTCATGGACTTATCGGCCTTGCTCCCTCTAAGCTTGGAGGGGAGGCAGCTCAAGGGGCACCAGAGACATACAGGGAAGAACTGAGCTGTTTGGCATTAGAGCGAGGGCTGGAGAGGGGGCTTTCTCTGGGACAAACATGCTGTCAGAGGCCTTTGTTCCTTTGGTGAGCCCTTCCCTGGGGCGGCAGACAGCAGACATATCTGGGACTCCAGCAACCTGGCTCACACTGGTAGCCCCAACCTGGTGACTCCCTGAGGCCCTGCCCCACCCAACTTTCAGGCCCACCCAAGCTGTTGCCAGTTGCTTCACCAAAGGATTGGCCTGTCTTGGATCCTGCTTCAGGTTTTCCTAAATTACTTCAAACAAGCAGCATCTGGTCTCAGATAACCCCATACCTCTCGTTAAGTAATACACAGAAACAAACATAGGGAGGCAGCCAAAATGAGGAGACAAAGAAACAGGTCCCAAATGAGAGAACAGAACAAAACCCCAAGAAAAGAACTAAGCGAAATGGAGATAAGCAACCTCACAGACGCTGAGTTCCAAATACTGTTTATAAAGATGCTCAATGAACCTAGTGAGAACCTCAGTGAACTTAGGGAAGGCCTCAAGAGCATAAAAAAGGACCAGTCAGAAATGATGGATGCACAGTCAGAAATGAAGGAGGCATTAACTGAAATAAAGAATAATTTACACAGATTCAGTAGTAGAGTAGGTAAAG